AAAAGAAATCCCCAAATATTCAGCATGAATGGCCCTGAGATTTAGCTACTTTAAATGAAGGAAATAATTAGGCACTTACCTTGTTCCTTCCCTTAGACCATCTGGATAGGTACAAAAAAGAATGAGATGCTACTAGAAAGTTGGTGTATTTGAGTTTGTTTATTGAAAAAAGGAAGAGTTTTTCTAAATCCTCAACAAAATCCCACAGAATAATAAACAGAGCTACAGACAAGAGAGACAGAATAAATGGTCCCAGGCCAGCCTGAGAGAATGAGGGAGCAAGAACTGGGTGTTTGGGAGAAGAGGAGAAATTGACTGGACTCCGTGGAGAAGACTAAGTGGTTGAAAAGGAAACACAAGGCAGTAAGCCTATGTTTCTGACCCCCTGGAAAGCTGGCTACAGGCAAAAGGAGCCTGGGTAGGAATGGCCCCCAGGGGACCTTGAAGACGCAGCAGCCAAAGGGGTGGCCAGGGCATATGGCACCATCACCTCCTTACCTTCGGGCATCTCCCCATCAAGATGTCATGCACAGGAAGGTCCTCACCAGCTTCAACAGTCAACTCGGTAGGTTCTATGGCAGCAGCCGTGGGCGCTGCTGCTGTCGCGTCCTCAGCTGTTGCTTCACAGATTTTACACTCTGGAGGACACCCTGACACCTCATCATCGTCCGAAATGGGCACACACAGCAGCACAGTTTGTTCCCCATGGGGCACCTTACTCCTGTCTGCCGCCACCTGTGCCTCCACTCAGTGTTGGTCAGGACACTCTGCTGCCCTAGGCCGAGGCTGTGCCGCACTTTCAGAGATGGCCTTGCCGCTGCTCACCTGCCCACACCACGCCCCGGCTAGGGCCGGCCCAAGGCCCGCACCCCCGCGCCTCTCCTAAGTTGACTTGTCTGGGAGGGTCACAAACAGCTGCTATTTAATAGGTTGGGAACCCACACAGCGCCAAGTGATACAACTGCTGGAAGAGAGTTCAAAAGGAGGTACTCCTCCCTCTGCAGTCACCTACAGACTGAAGCCCACTGGCCACAGTGGAATCCCAGCACGTGACTCACATTGCCCCACCCCACACCTCACAATGCCCACCCTGGCTGCCACCCCTCCCCCACTGCCCGGCTGCCCCACCCTGTGGCTTATGATGCCACTGCTCTCCTGGCCCCTCCTTCAGTGCCAGTGGAACTAAGTTTTCCATTTATCACCCGACAGCTTCCTGAGCTTTTTAGTCCTAAAAACAGGTGGTTCATTACTGGAAGCCATCTTCCTCTAGGAGTTCTATACAAAGTGGCAGTTAGCAGAGTGGGTCCCATTAGCAACCAAGTTGAACTTTTATTTGTTGACTCAATGTAGATACACCTGAAATATTCCTCTCCTGTCTTCCAATGAGTGATAGTTTTTGTCTGCAACTTGTCCACAGCAATCCCTGGGGCCCTAGCTCTACTCTCACTAAAGACTTATGGTGTCTTGAATGACACCTTATAATCCATCCTGCCTCCACCTCCTTCTCCATTAATAGAAACCTAACTTGTCCCCCCAAGCTCTAAAGTACTGAAACTTACCAACTTCCTTTTCTCCTGTTCTTCTTCCTTCCATGGCAGGGACTTTTAGATTTTCTCTCTTTTACTAACAAAGCACTAAGCATGACTTTGTTACACAAAATCAAGAGCCATAAGGGGGTTACCACAGTGCTAACTCAATAAAATGAATACTGCAAGGTTCTTAGTTTCTTTGATTGGATTAGAACATGTTAAAAAAAAATGAATACTGAACCCTAGCAAGCAGTATGTGCCTGACAGTGTTCCAAGTGGGCTATGCTTTAGCCCTCAGAAACAATCTCACCAGTTTTAGAGAAGACACTAAGATGGAGAAGGTAAGTTATCTCCCCAAGGTCACATGACTGCCCAGCCTGAGGCCATTATTTGATCTCAGGTAGTATGAATTCCCCAATTCCTCAAGTGTGATATCAGAAGTGCAGTATTCCATTTTCACACTGCTATAGAGAAATATTTTAGGTTGGGCAATTTATAAAGCAAAGAAATTTAATTGACTCACATTCCACATGGCTGTGGAGGACGGAGGAAACTTACAATCCTAGCAGAAGGGGAAGCAGTTACTTCTTACAAGGCGGCAGGCCAAAGAGTGTGAGCATGTGAAGAGGAACTGTCAAACACATATAAAAACCATCAGATCTCATGAGAACTCACTATCACAAAAAACAGCATGTGGGAAACCGCCCCCATGATCCAATTACCTCCCACAGAGTCCCTCCCTCAACATGTGGGGGTTTTGGATGATACAATTCAAGATGAGATTTGGGTGGGGACATGACCAAACTGTATCAGAAAGTACAGGTAGAAGCCAACCCTTGGAAGGAAGTGATATTATAGACTGGCATTTTTTTTTAAATGATTTTTTTTAATGTGAACTTTAAAATGCCTCCTCTTCATTCAACATTGATGAAGTCCCTTCTACATGCCAGACACTGTATGTGTAAAACAGTCCAAAATTTCAATGAGGGTAGGCAGATACACAAACAAAGGCTTACGAAGTTGTTTTCTGAGATCACACTACTGGACAGTGTAGGAATCTGAGATACAAACCCACCTCAAATTTGACACTGCGGTGGTTTTAATTTTATTCTGAAAATTTGAGTCATTAAACCATACAAAGTTGAGGAGTCTCTTTCAGATGTGGGTGTAGTGGTCTGTATAATAAGGAAGGACTGAAGAAAGCAACAGACCAATTAAGAGACTATCTAAAGGAAGACTGATGCAAAAGGCAGTGGCAGTGACAAAAGTGGAGGAAAAAATTTTGTGATTATTAAGGAGACAGAATAGGAAGTACTTACTCATGAGATGTGAAAGCAGCAAAGTAGAGGGAAAAACAGGGCTGCTCGGGCTCTGTTGGGGAAGACCGGGTACAGAGTTGTACCTTTCTCCTGTCAGAGAATGTAGGAAGACAAATAGATAAAAAGGAAAAGGCAGTTTTTTTTACGCTCAGTGTCACATTAAAATGGAACTCTCTGGTCAAACTTGAATATAAATCTCTGTAGGCTAAGTCCATTTGTGACATCCCAACATATGTTATTAAAAATAAAACACATACTAAATCAAACCATTTAGAGTAATGGGAAAATTCCTAAAATTTACATGCTAAGTATATCACCATTTTTTCTTACTTTCATGGAGCAACCCTGAATCTATGGTTATAGCAAATGAGGGATCTTACAAAGAATAAAGGTAATATTTTAAATTTAAAATTCTATTGTCCTCAGTGAAGAGAAACAACTGAAGCCATGGGCATGGAAGTGATTGCCCTGAGAGGTTGTGTATACTAAGAAGAACTAGAAAGAAGACCTGGAGAATAGGGGGATATACACATTAAGCAAAGCTCGCAAAAGTGCGAACTTGGAGTCAAGAGACTGGCCTTTGAATCAGAAATGGCTGCATTTGTGAGACACTGGAAAGGAGATGATTTCTGATTTCATTTCTGTAACAGCAGCACCTAGCTTTTACGCTTTTATAGTAAAACACTGAAACATATATTCATGATATTAAGGTGTGAAAAAGCTTCAGAGTTTAAAAAATTGGTAACAATAAAAGGAAAACCTATATAATTGGACAATATCAAAATTGGTAAGTTCTATCACCAATAGACACTATTAGGAGATTTCAAAAGTAACCCTCAGTAGATAATATAATCTACATATATAATATCTAAATACACACATGCATACAAACATCTACATATTGAAACAAAATAAGATTTATATATAAAAACATCAAGAATTTTTATAAATCATTAAGAAAAAATACAAATAACCCAACAGAAGACACATGGCCCAATAAACATATGTGAAGGTGCTCTGTGAAAAGTTATTGAAAATACAAGACAAATCTCAATGTAATACTACTATACCCATGCCAGAAAATAAAAAATGCAAAAAGGCAGAAAGTACCAAGTATAGAGAAGAAGGTGAAATTTCTGGAACATTCATTTACTGCCAATGAAGAGTGTAAACAGGCAAAATCACTTTGAAAAACTGACAGCATCTTTATACATCAGCATAGCCTATAACCCAGGAATCTCTCTCCTACACATTTTTCCAACAAAAATGAATAAATGTTCACCAATAAAAGCATACATCAAAATCTTCAAAATAGTGCATACTCTAATAGCCAGAAACTGGAACCAACCTAAATGCCCATGAACAATAAGATAAGTTGTAGTATTTTCACACAAAGGAATATGATACAATAAGAATAAAGAAACAATAACTCACAAATACATATTAATGAAAAGAAGCCAGACAAAAACTAGTACATGTTTATGGGTTCATTTATATAAAGTTCTTGCAGAGTAAGAGAATGACTGAAAGGAACAGGAAGGCACTGTTTCTTTTAAAAAGGAAGACTTACTATAAAAACAATGTCAGCAGAAATAAACAGTGGATGGAACTAAACGGTCAGAAGTGACACAGTTGATGTACATTCTATCTAGTGAAAGCTCCTTATCTTGACCTGGACTGGAAGAAGCAGTGTTGTAGAGACCAAGAAAAGTGAGAATATGCTAAAGGTCTTTGGGTTAAGTTAGAGATACTATTTTGAACTACTTTGGGGAAAGTGGCGGAAAAAGAAAAATTTAAATAAAAATAATAAGATGGAAGAATAAAGTCCAAGTATATCAAGAAATGCAAAATTTAAAACTTAAACTCACTAATTAAAAAAAAAAGACAAATTGAAAATGTTAACAAAATAAGCTATTTGCTATACAGTAAAAAGGTTGATAGTAAAAGAAGGAAAAAATATAAATAAAACTGGTAAGGTTTATTAATATTTAAGAAAAGTCTGAAAACAAAAAGCACAATTAGAGAAGATCGCTAAATAATGATGAAAAGTCCAATTCACCAAAAAAAAAAAAAAAAAATCTGAACAGATACACACCTAACAAAATAAGCCTAAAATTTATACAAAACAAAAAATTCACAGAACTTCAAAGCAAAAATGGTAACTCCAATATCACTGTAGGAGAATTCAACACACTGTTCTCAGCTTTTGCCATCAATTCTCTAACCGTTCTCAGACTTTGTCTTCTCTTTAGATCAGAAACACTGTCTTGTTCCAAAGCACAGAATGAATGTTTTTGTTGTTTCCCATACCATATACATAAACCTACTGAACAAGGAGGAAACTCATGGATCTTAAGGACTAAAGGTCAATCCAGATGCATTCTGAACTCTTTTAGAGATAGCTATTTTGTGATTAAACAATAAACTCAAGATTGTTAGCCTCTAAAAACTGTCAGGTACTAAGTGGTACACTGCTGCCATCTGCTGGACACTGTGTTCATTTGCAGGTCAATTATGTTTGCCTTAAAAGTCCTAGTAAGACGAAGGTCTTAAAACTGTCACCTTTTCTGAGCCTCCTTTATCTAAAGAGATGAAGATACTCTCTCTAGATTAAATGGTTGTATACAAGGTGTTGATAGAGGTTAAAAAAAGGTTTGTGCTATTTAAGCCTCTGGTAACAATGACTTTTTTAAATAAAAGGATTATAGGAGTATAGAAAATTATACTGCCTAAAATCCACTTGGAATTTAATATATCCATAAAGACTACCAATTTTGCCATACAACTATTGGAAAATCATATTTTATATACTGAATAAATGCAATAAGTCACTTTAAACATACCAATTATACTTTACCTATATGGCATATTATCCACATTACTTGCTGTGTTTCTTAAAATATGTACACATAAATTCAAGGTAGGTCTTCTAACACTTGCCCATACTTGGTTCTCTTGCCTTCCAGGCACACAGGAAGATTATATTTCCTGCCTTTAGTACTTAGGTGGGACCACATGATTAGTTCTGGTCAAAAGATCGTGAATGGAAGTGCCAAGTGTTGCTTGCAGGCCAATGCAAGTAATTATATGTGTGAGACCCTCTGGCACTCTCTTCCTCTGCCATAGTGACAAGAAGGGACCTCAAAAGATGGTTAAGCCCCAAAATCAAAGCAGCTTAAATCACTAAAGGCAGATGCCCTAGAGAGCTGTCCAGACCCACAACAGACTTTCTAAGAGTAAAAAACAAACTTTTATTGTGTTATCCCACTGAGAGATGGCACTTCAATGTTACCTCAGAAGAGCACAGGCCAAGGTTTCTCAACAGCAGCACTACTGCCATCTTAGGCTAGATAAATAGTTCATTGTGGTCTCTGTCCTGTGCACTGTGGGATGTTAAACAACATCCCTGCCATCTACCCACTAGATACCAAGAAGCCCTCATCATATGACAACCAATACCTCTTGTCATTGATGTTCTCCCCACTATCTTTGAGAGCCACTGGCATAGATTAACCTACTAATATAGTATGTACATATTTATGTATGAATGACGAATATATATGTAAACATGTTGAGTATATTTAAGTCAAATGTCATATATTCTCATGCTTTATTTCCTGCTAGGGTCAGATATTTTATAGGCTCTTAAGAAATATGAATTCCCATTTCTCAAAGTAGTAAAGTTAACTCATAAATTTTTTTAAAAAAATCAATTATAGGCCGGGCGCGGTGGCTCAAGCCTGTAATCCCAGCACTTTGGGAGGCCGAGGCGGGTGGATCACGAGGTCAACAGATCGAGACCATCCTGGTCAACATGGTGAAACCCCGTCTCTACTAAAAATTACAAAAAATTAGCTGGGCACGGTGGTGCGTGCCTGTAATCCCAGCTACTCAGGAGGCTGAGGCAGGAGAATTGCCTGAACCCAGGGGGCGGAGGGTTGCGGTGAGCCGAGATTGCGCCATTGCACTCCAGCCTGGGTAACAAGAGTGAAACTCCGTCTCAAAAAAAAAAAAAAAAAATCAATTATAGCACAAGTCTCTATAATAGGGTAAACAAACATCCCAAGAGTATATAAATCCATACATACTATGCTGTTCATTTCAGACTCATAGCTCCCAACTGGATGGACATTTCCAATGGGTTCCAAGACTTCTTCATCCACATGTATGTTCCTCCATCAAAACTAGCAGACAGAGAGTTCAAATGAAGACCAACTCTGTAGTATCCAGTGAAACTAAATTATTCCCAGAAGTATGTTTTGTACATTCACTCCTGTCTTCATTTCATTTAAAGAGAGAGAAAAAAGATTACTGATTCACAAAAATATAATTGTTTCTCATGTCCTAAAAATCAAAGTGCAAATAATTTGATATATCATAGCAAAAAAGCTGGCTCAAAAAGCACTAATAACTGTAGCATTTTCTAAATCCTAAGCAATGAAAACATCAAGAGGCAAAATCTTTGAAATAACCTACTGAAATATTTTCTAATAGACAAAAAGAAAATTTACTTAGTAATCTTTCACTTCTGTAACATTTCAAAAAATGTAAATAAATATTCCTCAGATTCCTATGTTTCCCAAGATATTTATTTTTAAACATTTGCCAGGAAACTCCTTTTCTTCTTTGTACACTACTTAACTTCATAGATCAAATAATATAGGGTACTCATAATTGTCTCCCTATAAGAAAATTAACTTTTTCTGGCAGTCACTTTTAGAAAACTTATAGACAATCAAAGGTTTGTACATGCATCTCTATGCACTGATCTGATTATACCAGACGACAAACTGAACAAGCTGAAGCAATTGGACATACCACATGTCTATATCCAATCCCTTCAGTTTGTTCTATTTTCAAGCATAAGGGCATACAAACACCAAATAAGTTTTCTCCAGCATTTAGTAACAGGATAATCAAACATAAGAGGAAATGTTTTGGTATTGTTTCACTTTCTTCAGTTTAAAAAAATAAATAAAGCTCCCTCTGGATGTGTATCTACAAAAATTGCTAAACAAGAAAAAATTTTTAAGATAAAAAATATCAGATTAGACATAACCTATATTATTTCATTTTATCTTTTGGAACAGCTTTACTCTTAAATAACAGCAATGATATGCTACCCTAAGGAAAGAGATGGTTTGATGAATCTCATACCACTGGTTGAGGTAGGTAGGGGAAAAGTCAGTTAGAAGTACTGTCTATACTAAGCAGGAATAAGCCTATGTATAACAGCCAAAGAACAACAAAGATTAAGAGTGGTTTTATTAACGTTTTAGATACAGTGAAAAATCAGGTATGGAGCAAAAGTCGCAAGGAAAATAAATGTTACCCCACTCCAATTTTGTCTAGATCCATCACTCCGTAAAACTGACAGTACCTTGAAATCTATCTGAAGATAATCCTAAATGTAAGTTCAGTTATATTATCTAAAAGAAAGCAAAGAGACTTAAGGTTAGTAATATTTACCAGAGACACCTATGTCTATCCATTCATCAGTTTTACTGAGGGCTTTTTCATTTTCCTTGGGGGAATCAAATACATCCTGTGGTGTCAGATTTTCATGCTTCTCTTCTTTGAGAGACATTTCCTCTGGAGTTATTCTAGTTCTGTTAGAGTCTTCCATATCTATAAAATAACCACTGAAGTCTTCACTTAAATCATTCTTTTCAGAAGATGACAAAAAAGACAAGGAAATGTCATCCACATCATCACTCAGTTATCTCGCTTTCGCATCGTGTTTCATGCTCTGGTTGTTTTTCATTCTGTAACTTTCATTTTCAGTCAGTTCTTGGTCCTTATTAGTAGCTCTGTCCTCAGCCAAAACTACAGCATCTTCCTCTACATATGTGTCAGCAGGTGAATTTTGATTTCCATAAACTGTGATAGTCCCAGACAATGGAGATCAGCTAGATTTCAGTAGAGAGGGATGAACCATTCTATAGCCTAACGTAGAAGATACCTGGACCATTTGGTAAAGCCAGCTTCTTTCCACCAGCAGCATAAGGCCTATTAAACCCATACCCTAAATGTTCACTCCCATTGAGTACTTCTGACTGTCGGAATTTCTTGTTAGCATACTTGACCGTAGAGGCACTCTAATGGATAGCTGTTGGTTTTGATAAGGCTTTGTAAGATCCACAGCTCTATTAAAGGAATGTGATCTGGTTATAGATGAAAGTGGAAAGAATAAATTCTGAATGGAATGTGAAAAACTTTGTGACCTTACCATTTTTTCACAATTAATAGGTTTACTACTGTCTGGGGACTGAGCTAAGCTTTCACCAGAACTGCTTCCGGTGGCACAGGAGTTTGCTCTAGGCCTTTGCATGCTACTAGCCGACTGGTTTCCATAAAATCCATTCAACTGTGATTTTGGAGTATTGACCGAAGAATATGAAGTCCTTCCTAATAATGTGCCTTTGGTAAATTTACCCCAATTAGATGGTCCAGAAAAAGACTTTTGGTTTAACTCCTCCATAGATGACACTAACATAGTGGATGGCTTTGCCAACTTTGACATGAATAATGAAACACTTTTCAAACCTCCCTTTACCCCATTTTTATCAAACATTACTTGAGTAGGAACAAGTTTTTCAGGATCAATTATTTTATCATGTGAATTTTGAGTATTGTTAGGCTCTTCGGCACCTTGTGCATAAAGTTGGTATTTATTTGCTTTTCTCCAATTAAATGAATGAGATGATGAACAATCAGAGCCATTATTTTTGATGTAACTTTTGATGTTACTATTCTTGGAAGTTCCTAATAAATTAACAGGAGTCCCATTTGACACTGGCTGCAATGTACTTCCTATAGATTTTGTTCCATACTTTGGCAACTTGAAACCCCAAAATGTCTTGATTTGTTTTTTTTCTTCCATGAGCTATAAGGTGCATTTGTTCTTAAAATTTGACAGAATCTGTGAAGAGAAGAAAAAAGGACATTAAACATTCCTAAATAAGGATAATTACTTGAATTATTACATAATATGATACTTATACTTTTATATGCAGAAAAGCCCAAAAGCTACTCATGATTTCTATAGATCTAGCAAATAATGAATGTACTAATAACTTCGTCTAATGTTAGATGAAAATAAAGAACTTTTTTTAACTTTTATGAATGTATGCTATGAATCATGACCACAAAATCCAGAAATAATAAAATCAAACTACTAAATTTGACGATATGAAAAATACTTTCAGAGTACTTCTTCCAATTTCCAATCCAAGTAATTTTTTCATTTTGGATAATAGTCTCTCCTTTAAAAATAAGAACATATGGAAAGCCACAGCCAGCACACTTAGGCAAGAGAAAAAAAGGGCATTCAGATTGGAAAAGAGGAAGTCAAACTATCTCTGTTTGCCAATGACGTGATTATATATCTAGAAAATCCTACAGACTCCTTCAAAAGATTCCTAGATTTGATCAGTACATTCAGTAAAGTCACAGGTTGCAAAATCAAAGTACACAAATTGGTAGCACACCAATAATGACTAAGAATCAAGAACTCAATCCCTTTGACCACAGCTGAAAAAAAAAATACCTAGGAATACACTTAACCAAGAAAGTAAAAGATCTCTACAAGGAGAAGTGCAAAACACTTCTGAAAGAAATCACAGACAATGCAAACGAACAGAAATACATCCCACACTCATGCATTAGCAGAATCAATATCATGAAAATGACCATGCTGCCAAAAGCAGTCTACAGATTCAATGCAATTTGTATCAAAATACCAACATCATTCTTCACAGAATTAGACAAAACAATCCTAAAATTCACATGGAGCCAAAAAACAGTACAAATAGCCAAAGCAATCTTAAACAAAAAAACAAATCTGGAACCATCACATTACTCGACTTCAAATTATACTACAAGGCTACTATAGTAACCAAAACAGCATGGTACTGGTATAAAAGTACATACATAGAGCAAAGAAACAGAGTAGAGAACCCAGAAATAAAACCAAATACAACCAACTGACCTTTGACAAAGCATATGTAACAAAAATTGGGAAAAGAACACCTTATTCAATAAATGGTGCCAGGAAAACTAGATAGTCACATGTAGAAGAATGAAATTGAATCACTATCCCTTAACATATACAAAAATCAACCCAAGATGAATTTAAGACTTAAATCTAAGGCATGAAACCATAAAAATGCTATAAGAAAACCAAAGAAAAATTCTTCTAAATATTAGTCTAGGCAAAGAATTTATGACTAAGACACCAAAAGAAAATGCAACAAAAAATAAATGGGACCTAATTAAACTAAAAAGCTTCTGGTCAGCAAAAAATAAGCAGAGTAAACAGACAACCCACAGAATGGAAGAAAATATTTGCAAACTATGCATCTGACAAAAGACTGATACCCAGAATCTACAAGGAACTTCAACTAATCTGCAAGAAAAATACAAAATAATCCCATTAAAAAGTGAGCAAATTACATCAATAAACATTTCTCAAAAGAAGGTATACAATGGCCAAGAAACATGAAAAAAATGCTCAACATCACTAATCATCAGGGACATGCCAATTAAAACCACAATGAGATATCACCTTATCCCAGCCAGAATGGCTATTATTAAAAAGTCCAAAAACAATAGATATTGGCATAGATGTGATGAAAAGGGAACATTTATATACTGCTGGTGGAAATATAAATCGGTAACACCTCTATGAAAAAAAGTATGAAGATATCTAAAGAACTAAATCAATCATTTGATCCAGCAATCTCACTACTGGGTATCTACCCAAAGGAAATTTGTATTTAAAAAAACAGCTGCATTATGTGTGTTTATTGCAGCAAAATTCAAAATTGCCAGATGTAGAACCAACCTAATTACCCATTCAACTGATGAGTGAATTAAGAAAATGTGGTATATATACATATACATACACACACACACAAAGGAATATTACTCAGCCATAAAAAAGAATGAAATAATGTCTTTTGAAGCAACACAGATGGAGATTGAGGCCATTATTCTAAGTAAAGTAATTCAGGAATGGAAAACCAAATACCATATGCTCTTACTTATAGTTGGGAGCTAAGCTACGGTTATGCAAAGGCATACAGAGAGTTATAATGGACACTGGAAACTCAGAAGAAGGGGTGGTGGGAGGGAGATGAAAGATTCTTTAAAAACTACATAATGTAGTAAAATACAACGTACACTATTTGGGTGGCAGGTGCACTGAAATCTAACCTCACCACTATACAATTCATTCATGCAACCAAAAATCACCTGTTCCCTTAAAGTCAGTGAAATAAAAGTTAAAGACCATATATTTTTTAAATGCATATAATTTTATAAAAGCTAGAAGACACTTGAAAACACTAATTACTAAAGCCATGGGAAGTATATAGCTGAATAATGTAACAGTATCAAAAAAATTCTTTTGGCATTAAGGGTTCAATAATAAGCTGTCAATTTAGGCAACTAACTCAAAAGAATTTTCATCTAGTAACATAAATACACACTACAGTTAGTGCCAGGTTGAGAACTATAAAAATTTAATAAAGTTGATTTGTCCATTAATCTCAATCTTACACAATTTATTTTATTTTTTGAGACAAGGTCTCACTCTGTCACCCAGGCCGGAGTGCAGTGGCATGATCATGGCTCACTGCAGCCTCCACCTCCCTGGTTCAAGTGATCTTCCCACCTTAGCCTCCCAGGTAACTGGGACTAAGAGCACACAGTACCACATCCAGCTAATATTTTTAAAAATTTTTTGTAGAGACAGAGTTTCACTATATTACCTAGGCTTGTCTTGCACTTCTAACCTCAAGCGATCGTCCCACCTTGGCCTCCCAAAGTGCTGGGATTAGAGGCATGAGCCACCGTGCACAACTTGTATTTATTTTAAATATAACACAAAACTACAAAAACAAAAAGGTTCAATGCACACAAAAGAGCATAAACTAGAAACCACTAGTGTTCGCTATTTGAGTAACTTTTTAATAAATTATGACATATCATGTGATAAGATTATAAAGATGAGCTAGAAATATTAAAATGTTTGTCCTAATATTAAGAAAAATATATGGTCACTATATGCTCACTGTTATGTAAGAATGCTGTAAAAACACAAACAAGGAAAAATGGAAATTTAAATTTAGGGTCACTGATGTTTTTAATGTAGTGTATGACATTGTCTTTTTGTTTTTTTAAGAGGCATGGTCTTGCTCTTTTACCCAGCTAGAATGCAGTGATGCAATCACAGATCACTGCAGTCTCGAACTCCTGGGTACAAGTGATCTTCCTACCACAGCCTTCTGAGTAGCTAGGACTGACTACAGACACATGCCACCATGGCCAGCTAATTTATTTTCACATTTTTAGAGGTGGAAGCCTTGCTATATTGTCGAGGCTGGTCTCAGATTCCTGGGTTCAAGCAATCCTCCCCCTTTGGCTTCTCAAAGCATTGGGACTGTAGGCACGAGCCATTGCACTGAGCTAAATTTTTTAAATTTTTTTGTTGTTGTTGTTGAGATGGAGTCTCACTCAGTCGCCTAGGCTGGAGTGTAGTTGCATGACCTCAGCTCACTGCAACCTGTCTAGTGGGTTCAAGTGATTCTCCTGCCTCAGCTTCCTCAATAGCTGGGATTACAGATGCCCACCACACACCTGCTAATTTTTAATATTTTTCAGTAAAGACAGGGTTTCACCATGTTGGCCAGGGTGGTCTCAAACTCCTGACCTCAGGTGATCCACCCACCTCAGCTTCACAGAGTGCTGACATTACAGGCGTAAGCCACCACACCAGGCCAATTTTTTTTTTTTTTTCTATTTCACTGCTTAAAATATTTTTTTTTCTTGCATTTTAGGTTTGGGGTACATGTCAAAAACAGTTGCATACGTACACACATGGCATTGTGGTTTGCTGCCTTCCTCCCCATCACCTATATCTGGAATTTCTCTCCATGTTATCCCTCCCCAACTCCCCACCCACCGCTGTCCCTCCCTTATTCCCCCCAACTGACCCCAGAGTGTGATGCTCCCCTCCCTGTGTCCATGTGTTCTCATTGTCCAACATCCACCTGTGAGTGAGACCATGCTGTTTGATTTTCTGTTCTTGTGTCAGTTTGCTGAGAATGATGGTTTCCAGGTTCATCCATGTCCCTACAAAGGACACAAACTCATTGTTTTTTATAGCTGCATAGTATTCCATGGTGTATATGTGCCACATTTTTCCTGTCCAGTCTATCATCGATGCGCATTTGGATTGGTTCCAAGTCTTTGCTATTGCAAACAGTGCTGCAATGAACATTCCTGTGCATGTGTCCTTATAATAGAATGATTTATAATCCTTTGGATATATACCCAGTAATGGGATTGTTGGGTCAAACGGAATTTCTATTTCTAGGTCCTTGAGGAATCGCCACACTGTCTTCCACAAAAATTGAACTAATTTACACTCCCACCAACATTGTAAAAGTGTTCCTATTTCTCCACATCCTCTCCAGCATCTGTTGTCTACAGATTTTTTAATGATCGCCATTCTAACTGGCGTGAGATGGTATCCCAATGTAGTTTTGATTTCCATGTCTCTAATGACCAGTGATGATGAGCATTTTTTCATGTTTGTTGGCCTCATGTATTTCTTCTGTTGTAATGTGTCTGTTCATATCCTTTTGCCCACTTTTGAATAAGCTTGTGTGTTTTTTTCCTGTAAATCTGTTTTAGTTCTTTGTAGATTCTGGATATTAGCCCTTTGTCAGACGGGTAGATTGCAAAAATTTTTTCCCATTTTGTTGGTTGCCGATTCAATCTAATGACTGTCCAACCCTGGCCTAAGAAGTGGAGTTCCTATAATAAATAAATGTTATTAACTATGTCAAAAGTAAATATTTAGAAAATCACACAAACTTTCAAGTAAAGATAGTAGAGTGAAAAAGGACTAAAGAA